TCTAATCCGAATATTGGACGTTTACAGTTATGAAGTTTCGAAATGGCATGTTTATACAATGCTACAAATTTTATTTTGAGGGTTAACAGAATAAGAAAGACACTTCAAAGCCTCTTTTGGATCAGAAATATACAATGATATTAAAGAAGTGTGTCTGACCGATAATGGTGTGACCTAGATGAAAAATTCATATGAAATGAGATTATAAACTATGACTGTGAGGATATCGCAAGGGAAGTATGTAGTCTTGTAGAGTATCAAAGGATCAAGAATATCATGAAGGTATATTTGGATGCAATGAGCACCATTTAATAATGTGGAAATAGCTAGTGTTGTGAGATAGCGCAGCTGCAGATAATAGAAAGTTAAGTTTTCACAATATTTTCTGAATATTTGTCCAAGATTAGACTTTAAGAACGCGACGCCAAACAGAAATTCAATTTTATTCTTATAAGCAGCTTTCTGCAGATGTAATTTCCAGTATCTCTACAGATAAATTGTCTACTCGAAATAAATATTCTTATGATTGAAATATAGAGCAAATGAGCATTTGATTGCAATAAATTCATTTTTTTTTTTTTTTAGTAGTGCTAGGTAAACCCTAGGAACCCACAATTACATTTGCTTAAACCTGTTGTTATCTCAGTTAGGTCAGAAATTTATTAAGTGATGTGTCATAAATAAGTACAGAGGTAGTTGCACATGTGCCGGCCAACATTCTTCTAGTCAACTTGAGTGCTATTCGAAGATGACTTTTCAAAAACATAGCAAACAATACAATTTTTGCAGTGAATCATTTTACTCACGCTTTCATACATAAACCGCCGCTGATGCTGCAAGCCTTGAGTGGACTGCTGTGCCTCCAATGCCCTCTGGGCCACACTATAAAGAACAATATTAGAAAACATTCAAGTTTTGACATAAACAATTTAATTTTGAATTTTAAATTTTGAGTATTTGCCATTTCAGTTCAAATCACATAAATCAAATTGTACACTGAGTAGAAAGCGAATATACCTCTTTGACTTTCCGGACGGCATACAAAGCATTTGCTGTAAATAACACTGTTAGTCAGTGCTAAACAATGCACAGCTTATGATTTTGCAAGTAATATTTCAGAGATTTTTTATTGTTGACACACCTTCTAAACAAATATGTAATACACATACAAACTAACGAGCAAAGCTTTGCATATTTCAAATTGCGGAATTTGTGCACTTAAATGAGCGTGTTTCCATCTCTGGTTCTTCGGTAATCTATTTGCTCTCTAGCAATTATATTTGCTTTTTTTTTTGTTTTCAATACCTTTTTATATTTTCATTTATGTTATCAAATTTACCATATTATTTGTTTGAATTGCGAAAAACCATACGATACAAATTGTCTATACAGCCCCAGACAGGCAGACAGCCGCACAGCTGCCTAAAGCAGACGCCGTTCCCAACTGACAGAACAACTTTTTGCCGCTCGGATGCTGCTGGAGGCGAGCGAGCGTAGGCAATGCTGCGTATGAACAATATTTTTTATTATTGCCTGCTAAAGTACACAAAATACAGCGCGCTAAACCAACAACATGGGCAAATTCTTCGGCCGTTCAACGCCTTTTTGTTTTGTTGCTTTTGGACCTTGTTGTTGTTGTTGTTGTTGTTTTGTGTTTTTATTATTTTTAGCTTTATTAATAAACCCGAACACCCGTTTCTATTGCTGATATGTTGAAGAGATACTGAATAATTACTTTACATTAATTAAATAGAAAAGAACAAATTACAAAAAAAGGCCAAACAACAACAAACTTTGCTGAAAATTCCGAGCAATTTTCAGATCCTATGAATTTTCAATTACATTGATACATATTGATAATTTTACAAATGAGTAATTTCTATTTCTAAATGTTGAAAAGTAGACAAATTAAATTGTAATTAATATATATATGCTTTATGGATAAAAGCAAATTCGACTCTCCATTAACTAATCCAGACAACATTTATAATTCATTTATCATTGAGTAAACCAACGCATTTTTAAACATTTTTCCAAATAAAATATTTTTTAAATTTATGGGTTATGAATGGAAATGCTTCAAGTTTTTTAATGTATCTATCTATACAGTGCTGAGGGAGCAATATAATAATTTTTATTTTGTTGTATATCAATAAATTGTATTATATTAAAAAACTAGCTGGCCCGGCAAACGTTGCATTGCCCTATCCATTATTTCTAGGTAAAAAATTGTTGAAAGCTATGTTGT